GTACACCAACCAGAAGATGATACCGGCAACGAACGAGGCGCAAGCCAGACCCACGAACATCCACATGATGGCCGGGTCATAGGCAGCCGGGGTCAGTGCCTCAGCCAGGGCGGAACCGAAAGCGTTGGTGAGGAGATACATGGACTGCACGAAGGACTTCATCGACGGAGGAGCCTTGGTGTAGGCATACTCCAATCCAGACACCGACGCGAAAATTTCAGACAGACCAATGAAGACGTAGGCAGGCGTCTGAATGGCAATGTGCACGTGGTTGCCCGTAGCGGACCCATCAACTTCCGAAGCAGCACATCCGGGGTGCTCGTAGCAGGGCCCAGCGGAGTAAATGAGGTGCTGGACAATGGCGGCGTACATCATGGCCAACGAGGCAACAACGAAACCCAAGGAGATACGGGTGATAGGCCGGAAGCGAATGCGCAAGCGACGCAGCAGGGGGTAGACAAGGGTCTCCAGAACAGGGATGAAGACAATGATGGAAATGGGATCAAAGTTCTGCATCAAGTCATTGGGGATGCCATGACCCTCCATCTGGCCGGCCTGAGTGACGAAGTTGCTGGAGAATTGGCCGTAAACAACCCAGTAGATCGGGTAGAAACAGAACACACGGCATGCAACCAACGCACGCTTGAGCTCGTCGATGAAGTGATCGTCCCAGGGCACATTGGTCCTGGTACCGTTGTTGGCCGCCTGCCAGCTGGGCTTGGGGGCATCCATGTTGCGGTTGACAATCATGATCCACAGAGCCTTGAAGGCGTCGGTGATAATGGAGCCCTGGGGAGGGCGAACGACGTAGTACTTGCGGCCGAAGATGAGCACCATGGTACCGACAGCGAACATGCACAGGCAAAGCAGATAACCAGACCAGAAGCCAATGTACTTCTCCATGTAAGGAGTGGCCAGCAGAGACAATGATCCCACGTTGATACAACCGTAGAAGATCATGTAAATGCGCTGGATTGTAAGGGAAGGATCAATGACAACCCGCTCACCCTTCTTGGTGGTAGACATGGCCATCTTCTTGCGCTTGTACTGGTCGGCAATCAGAGGAGCAACGTTACTCTTGATACCACCAGTTCCCAGACCAATGATCAAGATAGACACGATGAAGCCTCCAACACCAGCCCCGTGACTAAGAGCGGTCGGGATGGACGTGCAAACCAAGATGAGCAGACCGATAAGGTAAATGATACAGAAAACCACGATGGTCTTGTATTTACCGAGGTACTGATCCGCGACGATGGCACCGATGATGGGGGTAACTTTGGGTATTATGTCAGTCGATGGTCCCAAGGACTTAGGGACTAGTGGACGAACCATAACACCAGAACTGGAAGAAAGTGGTGAGACCAGTGGCTCCTTGATGACCCATGCCTAGGGCACCGCGTCCCTCACTTCCGTCCAGAGGACGATCAACGTAGTTCTGGAACATGCCAGACATTCCGTAGTAGGTGAAACGCTCGCACAGCTCGACAACGGCGACAAGCCATGCGGAGATGGGCAGATGTTCCGCGACATGGCGAAGAGTGGCGACTTCCTCGGCATTGGGCTCTTCGCCGTCAGGGGTGGGAGCAAGAGCCTTTTCGCTAGCCTCCGTGAATGCCGCCTTTTCGTTCACAATAGTTTCGGTGCCGTGGCCCTGTTGTTGCGGCCTGAGATATCAATTAGCGCTGGACGGAGGAGGGCGGCAGTTGGGTGAGCAGCGACAGAATAGTGACTCATTGAGTCACGAGCGACGGGAGATGGAACAGCCCACAGGAAGGGTAAAAAATAAACACAACAAGAGCAGTGGACACTTACTGAGCGATCTCAGCCTCATGATCTCCAGACATGTTTGCAGGGACCAGGCAGGAAAATCCCAGGGGCGAGCGGGAGGACTTGAAGGCAGATTTTCCTCTCGAAAGATGGGGAGACACGAGATACTCGCGAGGGAAACGGCGCACACCTTATATCTCCTGGTGGTGGGAGATATAGAGAGGTAGCCGAAGCGGGCCCGTTCCTGGCCCTGGGACCAATGGCCACCAGGAAAGGGCCCAGTTTGTGGTCAAGTGAGGAATCTGAATCACTATAACCGAGGGATGAGTCCGGGCGCAACCCAAAGCCCGGAGGCAACATCGATATGACAATAACTGACAAGCAGCGTTAAGCATCAGCCGAGATGGCGAAAAATCTCGGTGATTGGCCCATCGCGCGCAGAGCCCGGCGACATCTTGGGACGCCAAGAAGTCGGAGTTTGCCGGTGAGAGGCCGATTCCTTCCAAAGTTTCCACTCCCTCGTGGCTTTCCCCTCACAAGAATTTCCTAGATTCCTGCGTCCCTTTTCTTCCCCTGTTCGCATGTTCATGGTGATCGTCGGAGTGCTTCAATCCTCGAGTGATCCGTCAATAAGCGCTATCCCTTGCCTTGTATGCAAGTCTCCCAAATCGATCGCATGCTGAACGGCCGCAGCAGCAAAAATTCCACCGTTTGTCTGACGCCAAGCTGGACCCAGGACTAAATCGTTCGTGCCGTCGGTAGGACCACCATATGCGGAACATGTTAGGTAACATAAATCATTAAGCAGCTAAACTTGCAGATAAGTCTGGCGTGTCTCATTCGTAGTCCGACGGAGTACGACTCAAACTCCGTTGATGTTCTCGAAAGGCGCATGGTCGGCTCATTGTGTGCAATTTCCCCCGCTCATGAGACAGACGATCAGCAGCAGACGGTTGCAACGTCGGGCTTCCCCGCGCCGTGGTCGACGCGATGGCGGATTCTGTATGGAGCGCATGTAGATGGGAGACCCATCAGCTCATTGTCCTTCCCTGATAACCGTAGGATGTAGCGTGTCTTGGCCACAGCTGTGCTTATCTCCCTCGATTCCTGTCGGATGTCCGGTGGGAGGATGTGGCGAGTGAGGCAATTGTGCCATTCGATCACGATGCGCGAAAGGCAGGAATCCTAACTGTGACCTGGGCAATTAGTTCATTAGACTTCCACTGAGACTTGCAGTCCAAGTCCAGGATGTAGCTAATAGCACGGTCGCAAGGGCCTCTAATGCGACTGCTGCTGCTGCTCACGGCGCGGCAGATGAGACTCTCGAGACATTCCTAGTTGGGGGTGGAGTTCATAGCCGACCGGCTCAAGCCGCCCAGAACAGGTCAGAGGCGGAGTTGCCTGGAACGATCAGCCGGGCTATCGTATCGTATGGAGTAAGTGGCATCAGGCAATCTCTGGGGTTGGATTTGTAATGCATTTCCCAGAAGTAGATACTTCAACTCTTCTGCTGTTGAGACCTGAGAGAAAGTGAACAACATCACTTGTGTCTAGTTGAAAGGGGAGAAATGCAGGCTGCAGGCAGCAGGCAGCAGAGCGCGGAAGGAGCGCGCCCCGTTCAGGTTAAGTATCCTGACCCCCTCCGGAGTCCGACTTCGCCCTCCTCCCAACCAGTGATTCGTCATCCACTGGCTTTGACCTTTTCCGCCCATGTTGACCGATGGACAGCCAACGATATCTCCGAATCTGCTGTGATTGCCCTTGCAGCGTCGCCTTATCTGGCCAATGCCATGCACTAGAACTCCAATGACTCCAATGCCCGTCCGACCTGTCGGCACAATTAAGCTTAGTCTGGATGACGTGCTTATCAATCTCGACATTGAGACCGGCAATTGGATGTATTGCATTCACAGCTGGCGAGGCGAAAGGCGATCTTAATATGTGTCAAGATCCGTCACCGATTTTGGTCTAATGACTCGACACTAAGGAGCACTTGCAGCGGACTCAGTACGGAGTACAGTTTGGCTCCAAGACAATCATCCCGCACGTGGCTGGTCGCTTCCACGGGCTTGGCTCGAGAAGAAATGGCGGGAGACATCTGCGGCCATAGTGGTTTTGAAGGGGCCTTTGACTCATAGTACTAAAGTGCGAGGGGGAACTTCAGTCAAAGAGAACCTTCAACTCCTACTTGACCCTGGGAGTCATTCAGATTTACATTCTAGCGACCCCCGATGCCGCACGACCTTGGCCAAGAGCCAAGCCATATGGATGCGAGGCTCTTTCAATCAGGATGTCTGAAATGGTGTGTACGGCAGCTTATTGGGCATCAAACAACGCTTTATTGCTCTTAAAGTAGACGATCATCCTTGTCCCAGCTCCACAACTCCACACATCGGTGCGAAACACGAGCCTGTGAGTCAACACCGTCTTTTTCTTTACTAAGGAGTTATGATGCAGAGTCATGCATGCTTGAAAGCGTTTGAATGCAGGAGAAGATGTGTGAACCGGTGGATATAGCGGTGATATTTCGGCGATATTCCGTTGCAATGGAGGTTTTACCTTGGGGACTACGACGGCTAAACTGAGCGCCGCAGAAGAAGCACCTTTTGCATACACGCTTTTCACACCTATCAAGAAAAGAGAAAAGCAGATGAAAGAGGAACGTATGAATGTAAACAGAAGGAAGATTCCTAGTAGCAAAAAGGCCACGATTGCTCCTTCGCCGGAGAACAGCAAGATGTCCCCGGCTCGGACTCGAACCGAAGCCGCATCCGAAGTCTATAATGAATAGGATGAGAATAATGGGTATAGGTGAAGCTCTGACCAGTGAGCTACAGGGTTTTGCTCCACTACTTACCTATAGTGGCTAGTGTGGTACGGACAGACAATACCTTGTTGAGGCTGGTCACCGAGCAGCTCGGATACTCAGCAATGGCCTCGGAGACTGTCCAGGAAAATGCTACGTAGATGATTAAAACTGGCTGCTATGGCCCGGGGGGGAATCATGGCACAGAATTTGAACCATGGCACTCTCATGGGAGTATTGATGTAAGGATAAAAATGTGAGCCTCTGCCGGAGGCTCCGGTTAAATGACTACGGAATGACTCGATATCCATGGAACCAGCAAAAGAGTTTGCCTCTGTTTTCATTGGCTGCCAAGGAGGGAAGAGGAATACTAAGTAAACTAAGGTGTGTGCCACCCGACAAAAATGAAAAATGAAAAAACAAGTGCCCCCACGCGGGATTGAACCGCGGACCTCTTCATGACAGTATTGGTATACGAGTGAAGCGCTCTACCACTGAGCTACAAGGGCTGACTTGTTGAAAAACGCCTCTCAACATTAAGCTATATTCTACATAAGCAATCAGTAGCTCTTTACCCCGTCAACTCTGCGCCCACGAGGTAGGAATATGTACAACTTAGGCACTACTATCCTGCAGATGACCTTGCTAGCAGGAGGGAAACGCTGGAATGTTATGCAGTTTTGCTGCAAGACATGTCTTTCATGTGGCAGGGTTCCAGCCTATCAATGAACAACATAGGTCATTTCTTCTTTTCTTTGTACTCGGTTCACTCGTGGACCTAACCCAGTTGATTGAACTCATACGATAAGGGATTTTGGGATAACCTCGAGCCAGATTTCCCTAGCATCTATCTTTTGCAGGTAATTACATAGTACTGGGGTTTATCTCACACACTAAAGTCCCTCTGCCATAGCAGTAGTACAAAAGACACTCTTCTATCCCTCGCCATAGTCAGCTTCCCGGAACGCTTACTACTAGTAGCCTGAGTAGTTTGTACAAATATATATTGACAATACACACTCATCCGACAACGAAATGGTCATAGTATGGACTCCGTGTGATCCACAACCCAGAAGAGCCTGGCAATCTAAATAAATTACACGGGAATATCAACGAGGATAAATTCAAATCCGCCTGCCAACGGAGGGAAACCAATTAACACTCAAAATAGAGTTTACTATGTATTTGCTCGCCCCAAAACATACGAAACTAGAATGAGAGGAAAGCAAACGAGATAGAATGCAGAAAAAAAAAGAATCGAGCAGATTATCCAGAAGTGTGCAGAATGCCCCCATTCAGGAACGACCATCGATAGCGAAATAAATAGCCAGCTACCCAGCCATCCAGTAAGCTCTGCATTATAAGTAGGTACTACTTAGGCTACTCAACATATATACATACAAACCAACAAACCACATAGCCTAATCCTCGACTAACCTTCCACACAAGCAATACAAGCAAAGCAATTCGCCATCCAACGATATCCCTGCACATAAATAGAGCACAGCACCTCTCACTACTAATTCTAGCGCGAGTAGAGCATTTGACGAGTTCAACACGTCGCGTTGAGGAAATAGGATGTATACAATGCAACGAAGAGAATATATACTAGTATCAATTAATCTGATCAAGAATGTATAGCTGTAAGGGTGGTAGTACCCATACCCGATAACGGCAGAGCTGCAACCTGGAGATCCCCAGATAGTAGGTAGTAGATAAGATAGTCAACGACAGATAGATAGGTAGATAGATAACAAGCCAATCGATCTCCGCGCGTTCTGTGCCTAATCTATTTAGTCTATTGCCTGCATAAGCTCTTTTCTTGGATGAGATTAGCAGGTCGATCTAAAGTTGGATTTAGGGACTTTGAGTTCGGGCTAATTTGCCTTTTTATTTTGTAATTAGTGAAGCTTAAGTGCAGGGGGGAAATTTAAGGTTATCGATGTAAGGTTATTTGTAGATCATTAGTATTTTAGAAGGTACTTAGTAAACAGTATACTCTAAAGTATTCCAATAATTAGGAAACGCAGCTGGAGAATCTCACATATATCGCAATTTTACACTCGGTGTTTAAGTCTCTGAAGATTCAGCAACAGAACCGACTCTTCTTATAGGTATAAGAATACTAGATTTCTAGTGTACTGCTTGTTTCTAAAATGTTCCATGAGTGCGTAAGTGGATAACTTTTATCATTACAGACAGATGGAGTCGGCTCTAGGTACACGCCGTAGTGCAAGAAGCAATTACCGCCTGCTGTCTCGCTCTATCATTAATCCATAGGCATCATCTATGTGCTTTAATTATAATATGCATCCTTCACATATCATGTCCGTATGCTTCATAATACCCCTAACAAAGAGCAGATACTACCCGAAGGAATCCCCAGGCGAATATTAATCATTAACCCATCGAGACCCCGTCCGTGACACACTAAATCTTATACTTCAAGACCTTGCCAGTTCTCGCCAGTCGAGCCGCACAGAGCAGACAGAATCCGACGAGCATAGAGCATGCCGCGAAGAGCTGCGCATAAACATAGCGGCCATTGTCTCTGGTGATCAGAACACCAGCGATAGGCGGACCTGTCAATACGGCGAAACTGACGATTGTCTTGTCCAAAGTTAGTCACCATTTCCTAGAGCATTCTGGGGATGGAGAAAGGTCTTACGAAAATCATGCCCATTCTGACGCCCGCTTTCTGCAAGTCCGTGGTCAAGCTGCTCAACGTAGCGGGAAACATTCCCTGCAGACCGTTTCCTACAATACCATAAACGACCGTCCAGGCATAGAGCCCCGATATAGATGTGACAGCAATCATGGCATACGCGCAAATAATCGAGAACAACGTGACCACAAGGAGAATATTCATGGGGCCGGTATACCGATCAGCAATGTAAGCAGGGACCGGACGACCGATAATACCCAGGCCGTTCAAAATCAAGGTGAAGGTAAGCGATTCTTCCTGAGAGATATTGATAATCGCGACACCGAACGAACTCAAGTAGTAAAAGGCGAAATAAACACCCCAGAAGGTCAAGAATATGCCGACCGCGAACAAGGTGTAGGATGGTTCTTTAAAAGCGGCGAGTTCAATGAGAGGGCCTGTTTTCCGCGGCGGCACTCTCGGTCTGGCTAGGATGTTGCAGATGATTAGACAGGCCAAGGTGAAAAAGCCGAAGACTCGCATGGTCCATCCGTAGCCGATCTGGGGGATCAGGTGTTGGAACATGACGGTGAAGATCAGGCCTCCTGTGGCGCTGCCGCAGGCGCAGATGCCGACGGCTAGCATCTTGCGCTTTGCGAAGTACGTGGATGTTACTGAGAGCGCTGGGCAGAAGAGACATCCGTTTCCGATACCGCAGCAGATTCCTTGGGCTAGGAAGACTTGGTAGTATTCTGTTGATATGGAGGCCATGAACATGCCGAGGACACTGAGCAGAGTTCCGACCACTGCAGTAATTAGCACATGTGGAAGCCATAAACCTGAGAAACATCTGCGGAGAAGAGATACTCACCAAAAACCGGCCGAAAGTAGCCCGCATCAGTCAACCGGCCCGTAAAAGTACCAATGAAGAAGACAATGAAGACCTGAACACTGCCGATCCACGAAACATCCGAATCCGAGCGGTTGAGATAGTCGACGTAGTACGTTTGAAAGATACCAAACGAATTCATGTAGCCCCTGACCCGATTTCAGCATACGTTTTTCTTCACGAATGACCCAGCACGAAGTGTAACCACGCTCCTGGAGGAACCAACTGAGCTTTCATACATGCGAAAGCAAAACATTGGAACCTACCAGGTATTCATAATGATCAAATGTCCCACCACGACTTGTGTCCATGCGAGAGCTCCGCCGTCGGGAGGGGGACCTGGATCTTTCCAGCTCGCGACGCTTTGTGATTTTGACAGGATGCCCCATTTCTTTTCTTTGACGGTCTCATTGTTGATTGTCTTTTCGTCGAGCTCGGTTATAGCATCGGGATATGCCTCGACGGTGCCATTGTCGGTCATGCTGGCGGGTGATGGTGAGACCGTCGAGTTCAATTGTCAACAGATATTAGTTTAGATGTATGAGTCGCACAAATTGCTTATTATTCAGTAAAGAGGTGATTTAAAAGAAGCTACACCGTACCTGGTCAGCATTTAATGTTTCTGGACGGCAAGTCAACGTACCTAGTTATTTCGCATCTCAGTACATCTATTAAAGAATTGACCGTCACAATTGCATAGATTATGAAAACAAAGCCATGCGGACAAGAAATAAATACCAGTAACAAAGAAACAAAGAAAAGAAAAAAAATAAGAAGAAGAATAAGACCCAATAATATTGGGCTCAATTCGGCGTGGCGAGGATTATTTCCTCGTAGTCCGGTTTCGGACTAGTCCATGTTGCAGGGCGCGGATTGACAGAATTTCCTGAAGGAGCAAGTCAGCAGAGACGCTTGGATCCGACGAATAAGCAAATTGACGGTGAAGTCCTTGAGACTTGGTGGACACTAAGATCGACTAAGATATAGTCTATAGTCTCGACACACTAAGATCAGTCTAGACACGTCACCGTAATCGGCGTGGGGCATGTACGGAGTAGACTATCTGCTTTCCGCGATGTTACTCTACCATCCCACTCCGTACACTAGTTAAGACTGCGGACTACTCCGTACAAAGGAGTAGATAGCATCTTGCCACGATAAGCACTAAGCTGTCGATCGACTGCATCCGTGAGTTACAAAGAACAGAAAAGGGCTTAATTGAGGGGTAAATTGAACAGGGATCAGGTACCAAGTCGGAGCTCAACTGATAAGGGAATTGTGCTCTAATAAAATGGGCAAATGCCCTGGTAACAAACCTAGGTAGAGGACAACTCTTCATCTTGTCCCTTGTGAGCATAGGAATTCTCTCTATACGCTTCGAAAGGAAGGTGATTCTCTGAAATTATCTGGCTACTAGCAATATGGCCTCCCCACAAACCATCTACCTGGCTGTCAGTCAAGCGCACACGCTCTCCAGCACCCCCGAGACCCTTCAGGCTTTGTCACAGCAATGCCGAACAGCAGCCAAGCAGACCCCATCTCCCGATTTGATTCTCTTTCCGGAAGCTTACATTGGGGGCTATCCTCGTGGGGCGACCTTTGGAGCCAAGGTGGGATCTCGCGACGATGAAGGCAGAGAACAATACCTGAACTACTTCAAGGATGCGGTGGATCTGGGCGATACGCCTGAAGGAGCGGGGGAGAAGTGGGTGAGGAGGGAATTGGAGGGGCAGGACGGGAGTGGAAGTGGAGTCCGAAGGGGCGATGGAGTCCGCGAGGAGCTGGAACTAGTGGCTCGCGAAACGGGAATCTTCATCGTGACTGGGTTGGTGGAGAGGGCTGGAGGTACTCTCTACTGTGCGGTGGTTTATGTGTGTCCGAAGTTGGGAGGTGAGTATCCAGCATGTAACTAGTAGTACTTTTGGATGTGGAAGCTGACATGATGCTAATTACCGTCTAGTGATTGGCAAGCGGAG